AAAGTCAAAAATAAAACTTGTATCTATTATAAAAAAGAGATCCTATATTTATTAATATGTATGAAGAGGTTTTTTTAGCTTGGCACTTGTGGCGTTAAGTATTGGGATGATTGATAGTAAACTCTGCAAGAATCAGCCTTTTAGTCTTCAGTCTCCTCGGGGACAAAATCTAGTTCTCCATCATAGCCATCTATGTCTTCTATAATGGTTTTATTCCCCTTTAATGATTTGTAAAAATCATGACAATCTTTTGGAATAAGATCTAACATTGACATCAAATCATCAACCTTAGCTTGAGGGATTTCTTTGCCATTAGGCCACAATAAAATTAGATCATCCTGACATATATCAATAGGTTTACCTTTACTTTTTTTTGCAATATTAAGTTGGTTGAAATATTCTTTATCAATCGTTTTCATGAAAATATCAAACTTATTTTCTTTATTTATTAAAATTTGTTTTGTTTTTAACCAATTTGCTTTTTCTTTTGTTATAAAAAGTTTTCTATTAGTTGTATTTTTTTCTAGTATTTTTGTGCTCATAAAGTCATTTTTTTTCATCCGGTAGACTTGCAACGGGTTTTTCTTTTGCATTTTTTTATGATATTAATATATTCTTCTACTGTATAGATCCTTTCGTGATATTTCAGCATGGTTTCTATCTTCGAAAAGTCAGCATCGTTAGGCAGAAATGTATGTCCCGACTCCAAATATTTAAAGGTTACGGTTTTCAAAGTGGGATGAGTGTCTAAAACGACTTTTAACATTAAGATTATTTTGATATTACGGTTTTGACCGCCACAGCAATCGCTCCAGAGCACAAGATGCTGCACTTTTGGGTCCAGTTTATTTTTTATGTAATTAATAATGCAAGATCCTACTTCCTGAGACCCTCGGCCCGCTTCACCCTCGACCCTCACGTAACAATGACCGATATTATCTGATCCTGTGTGTATTGAACAGTTGTAAAACCAAAGTTGTCGTTTGTAAAAGACAACACTGGTCGGGATGCGGGGCAAAGGTAATGTTTTCTCCATATCAAATGTGAGACACTCAAAACTTTGGTCGGTTTTTGCTTGCATCATATCATCATTCATAGCTCTCATTAAATCTTCTGCTCTCTTCAAGTGTGCTTCTTTCTCTTCTACATATTATCTGCGTTCAACATCTGATGCACAATTTTTTATTTTGATACATAAAGTGTCGCACTTATTGCATGTATCTTTTCTTAGGCTCTTACATCTAAGATTGAAATTATTGTAGAATATTCGCTTTGACGTCGAGAACGATACTGGCTTTTCGGGTGCTTCAGAATCGGTATTAATTTTATTGAATTCCTCTAAATATAAATCGAATATAGTTTGAACAGTCATTCCCAGTTTAAGATATTTGCAACCACTATTTTGATCCCTCCTATAATGTGAGTCGTATTGTGGCAATTTGCTGATAATATTTTTGATAAATTCGATTTCATGTTCTTTCGTCTTATTCCAACCGCCACCTTTCTTCCCTCTTTGGTCCTGCAAGGTATTTCCACTGCGATTTTTTTTCAAACTTATGTCAACCTTTTTAGTTGTGATTTGAAAGTTATTAATATACATGTCTCGACAAACATTTATGCCACTTATAGAGTAAATCCGTGTATACTCTTTTGGTTTTCTTTTACCACTCTTGTTATCCTTTAACACAGTGTAAGACCTAGCTTTTGTATTTTCTTTTACCGTATTAGAAATATATAATGCTTGAGCTTCATAAGATCCTAGAGTGACGAATTTTTGAAACTCGTGCTGTCTTTTCTCTGTGGAAACCAGTTGGTAGCACTTCTTTTGACATGAGCATGAGTAGTCGATAAACACCTTTGGCTCAACAAGCTTCTTCTTAGTGAGATAACATTTGTTGACATACTTTCTTGTCTTGGCCTGAGCTACAGTAAAATCTGGATGTTTCCTTTTTCGACCTTTTTTTGGACGTCCAAGTGAAGTTATAATCTGATCTGGACTAGAATCATTATTGGTAATTTCTATATTTTCATCAGGATTACATTCTATAGTTTCATTTAGCAAAGTTCTTACAGTTGAGTCTTCAGATGTGTATGTCACATTTATATCATTTGGATGTGTAGTCAAATCACCTTTGTTGTTTGTATCATCACGGTGGACTATAGCTGCAACACTGATTTTCCTAGATCTCACTGCTTTATTATCATCATCAGATGAGTCTGAGTTACTATCTGGTATATAATCTGTATCAGTATCAGAACTGAAGTCACGTATAACATCTTCATTATTCATTGAGCCAGAATATTCTGCAAGGTGTTCATTATTTGAAATATTAATTACTATTTCTTCAAAATTATTTACCTCGTCTAAATAATTGTCAGTAACTTGTAGAATCGGAGTCTGTGCTCCGCTTAAAGTTTCGAACAGCTCTAATGTGCTAGGAGACATATTTTGTACAGGAGACGAGTCTTGCTCTCTACCTGTCAAATAAATAAATACATTTAGGCATAAAAATATAATCACTGCCAAAAGTAATAAAAATGTAAATTCATAAAAATTATTATGTAAGCACTTAATACTTACTCTCATCGAAAATTTCAGTCTTCTTTTTATTTGTTATCAGTGGCGTCAAAGGAGAAAACATTGGAGCTACCGGAGACACTGTATCATCTAAAAGATAGACAGAGTTTTCAGCTGCAAAACAAAGCAAAGCGTATTTAAGTTTGCAACTACAGCGAAGGTGTCAATAATTTTAACATTCTACAAACTCATGCCTTAATTTTTTTACCATTACTTGTCATATCTAGAGCATTCACTGTTAGCTCATAATTTTTAACATCTTTAGAATAACAATGTAATCTCTTTGTCAAAAGAAACAAAAACGTGAATTCATAAAAATAATTATGTAAGCACTTAATACTTACTCTCATCTAAAATGTCAGCCTTCTTTTTATTTGTTATCAGTGGCGTCAAAGGAGAAAATATTGGAGCTGCCGGAGACTCTTTATCATTTATAAGATAAACAGAGCTTTCAGCTGCGAAGCAAAGCAAAGAGTGTTTAAGTTAGCAACAAAAGTGTGTGTCAATAATTTTAATGTTCTATGGACTCATACCTTCATTTTTGTTACTGTTACCAATTGTCTTATCTAGAGCATTCACTCTCAGCTCATTATTATCACCTGTCAAATAACGAACACAGCTATAAAACAAAAAAAACGATAAACACATTACTGCCTTTTTAATATTGATTTTGTGTAAAAGCTACACACCTGTCAAGCAACAATAGTTATAATATAACATAACAATAGTCAACCTGTAAGCGTTTTAACTTTTAGGTTATAAATAAATTCAAATAATTAAACTTACCTGGCTCTAGATCTCCTGTAATACCTTGATCATCTAACACATAAGACAATCCTATCTATCCTCTTCATTTCAGTTACAACAAAGTTAGTCACAGACACATCTAATTGTAATGAACAAGTCCAATCACGACAAAGCGTACACGCACAATGTGAAATCAATGTTTTGCAGTGTTACCATTTATGTGGGGTGACCATTAATTTGAATAAATTACTACTATTTAAAAAATAAATCAAAGATTACTACTAGGTAATAACCTGTCAGTAGTAATCTTTGATTTATTTTGGTTTTTTATTTACTTAGAAATAAAGTACGAATCGAAGTATACATGATCAGCGAGACTGCCCCAAATAGGCTTGGATCGTTTTCGCAGAATGATTTAAATTGATTTTGGAATCAATAAAAATGCACCAAATAGTTTGGATCATTATCGTTGACAGATTTATTGGAATAATAAACGAAAATCCATTTATCGAAAAAGATCCATGCATTCTGGATTGTTTTAATTGTTTTTTTTAGGTGTAAGTGTATTCAGAAAAAAGTTCCAAGCACACTGGATCGTTTTTGTGTTTTCATTAAAGTATCGGTGATGAAAAAATTTTAATTACGCAAAAATAATCCAAACTCCTTGATTCGTTTTACTTAATCGGTTGGTAATACTGGTCATGATCCATGAAGGTTGGATTGTTCAAGGTGATTTTTTTTATTAACGTGCCATACAAGTGGGTTGGTTCTGGGGTTGATAAAATGTATTAAACACATGTTTTTGCTTGGGTCTTTTTTACTGGCCGATGGTTTTAATATAAATATTAAAACCATAAAGCTAAAGCATCAGTTTGGTATGTTTAACTCATTTTTGACCAGGTTGTGGATTGGATCCTTTTCGTGTAACTACGTCCAATTGTTGTGTTAACCCATTCATTGCTACTTAAATTTTAAAAACATATCCTGGGTGCCACTTAATGTTTTTAATGATTTCAATAGAAAATACGTAAGTAATTTAATGTGTTTCATTAATAAAAAAAACCTCAACACACCATTTGCGTTGACGTTTGGATGGTATTTTGCAACATGTTATGTAGGTATATTTTCTTCATTCATATAATCTATAATTGTTTATAATTTACTATTAATATTTCATACTACTTACTACTAATATTATAAATGCGAAACATTGTGTGTTTGTCACGTATAATTTGCTTTGCCGAAATATTTACAGCAAAGAATGTTGTTAACTCATAATAATTTTTCTTGACATATTTGACATAACCAACTAACCTACTCTACCCTACGTCCATCTCCTGGTTTTAAGCTACCTCCCGACCAATTTTCAGCCAAATCGATTCGTTCTTGAGTAATAAATAGTGTAACTAACACAACTTCCTCTATATAAATATAGATTACTACCTTTTGCATGCGGCTTCGCTCCCGCTCTACCCTACTCTAGCCTACCCTATTTTTTTCTTTCATAAGAAGCTTCTCCTGACAATAACAAACACAACTAAATGATAGCTTCTAACAGGTGCCTTTGGCCATCCGCTAAGTGGCCGCATTATATTTTACATATTATATGTGTGTCAATTTTCATCCAAATATGTCCAACAGTTAATGCATGAAGAACATCTGGACTAATTTTCATAGGTCTTGCAGAATCGTCGATTTTAATGGATTGCAGGTAAGTAAACAATATTTTAGTGGATAAATAGGTTGGAACTATGACAAAAAAAATATAAATGATATAGTTACTTATATTTTTATTATTAAAAAAAATAACTTAAAACGTTTGGAAGAGGTAAAGGGAGGCTTTTTCCCAGCAGTGGGACACAAAACCAAACTAAAAAAAATGGATCAGTATTTGTGGTACTCTTTAAAACAATCTTTTATGCAAAACCTATATTGTTCGGGACAATCGCGACAGAAATATGAAGTGTCTTTTCTGATTTTTTTTTAAATCCAGCATTGCCTACACCGACGTCGTAAAATTTTTCTCGTTGTGCCATCATTTTTGCGAGAACATAATTCAAATTCAATCACTTTAATGCATCTATAGTATGTACAGGGTGGTTTACAATTTTGACAAAATATGTTCCAACTATAGGCCCTTTTGGGCACCGCAAAAGTACTTACTCTACTTACAAAATAATATTTTTTAATTAATGCAATAATTTAATTATTTCATATCTTATATAACTATTTTTAACCTTCAACTACCGACGTGGTATTTTTGTATCACTAGTACCGATGTGGGGCCTGAGAGGCATATTAAACACCTCAGTGTTCCTTTCACCACTCATGGTATGGAAAATATGTAATATAGACATCTATTTTTTAAGTTTTATTGTTAATTTGGGATCTATAAATGAAAACAAAGACAATTATTATAATCAACTTTATTAAACTTTGAAATTATATGATCTTTAATCTTTGGCTCCGATTCTAAACTTAAAAATAGTACTTCCCGAAATAAAAATAATTAAAAAAATAATACTCCTTAGGAACCATGAAATAGACTTTTTTTCTTAAACTTAAAGGTTATATCTATTAAAAAAAATTAAACTTAAACTTAACTTAAATAAAAAAATGTCCAACAACAAAGTTACTCACAATTAGAGCAGATTTGTTTAGCGCACTGGTATGTAGATTTTCTAATTAATTTAGGCGGACAAGAGGCACATATTTTTCTTTTTTTTTCTTCTTTTGCTTGACCTTGTTCTGTGTTTGGCATATCAGGACCGAGTATTCTCTCTAAACTCATACGAAGTTCACGAGGCAAGCGAAAGTTTAACACCCTTCTCTTCATGTGGTCTAATACGAGTTGTCGAGCTAACTGCTTTATAAACACACCGCGATCAGTGCCTTTATTTAGATGCACATCATGCAGTATATGTGAATTGAGTGAACTTATATCTAAGATCTTATAAAAAAGTGTCAGAGGCCAACGTCTTGATCGACGGCTGGTAGTGTATACCGAACACTTTCTGTCGATTTCATCTACTCCGCCTTTTGTGGAATTATAGAATTTTATTATTTCCGGTTTGCCTGATTCTATGTCAATACCTGCACTATGATGCATCGAGGAAGTTAATATAACAGCTTTGTTTTTACTAGGTAGGGTAGACTGGGTACGGTTGTAACATTTTTGCGTTAATCGTTCGTACAAGTGACATTTATAGGACTAACAACATAATAAACGTTTGAAATAAATCCGTATACATCTGTCTCCAAAAAGACGTAACAATTAGATAGTTACAGTCAGTAGTTTCCAGACAGTTACCATTAACTGACCATTAACTGAAATGTCGGCTACTGTTACAACTGACCCCCATACCAGGGGCGGTTGTAACAGTGAGGGGGGTCAATTGTAACACACTCAAATAAAGTACAGTGAATGCGTTCTATCACTTTTATTGCTTCAAGTACTTACGTATTACTTAAGATTAATATGGCACCATTTAAGGAACATTAATTTGTAATCAGTCATTTTAATCAGTCTATGACATTTTGATTTTTAAACAAGTACAACTTCTAATTAAACTAATTAAATGATATTTTAAACAAAACATAATAATGACAGTATTTAATCAGATTCACTGCAATTATGACAGATGTAATATCTATTACCGTCGGTACAATCAATGTGTGACCAAAGACGACAGGTCCCTTGGCATTGTACCCATTTTTCACCTGATTTACTATCTGAGAAGGCTTCTAGGCAAATCAGGCAATAATACTCTTCTTCTTCTGATGATGCAGGTGGTGTGTTAGCTTTCTTTCTTGCTTGTCCCTTTCCTTTACCTTTGTGTTTCATACCAGTCGATTATTCTAATACTTTTTTCTTCACTTGTTTATCTTTCAATCTTTGCTGTCGCTCTTCATACTCCTTTCTAACAGCTTCCTTTTCAGGGGTGTCTGTATAAATAGCAGATTTTTTAGTTTTTCGACCCCTATTTGCAGTTTTCCTAGGGGCAGCTTTTGGGTAGGGCCGTATTGCCTCTGGTGAAAATATTGTTTGACTGCTCGTAGACGGCTTAGGCGATGGTTGCTGATCAGGTATTTGACGGCTCGTAGACGGCTTAGGCGATGGTTGCTGATCAGGTATTTGTCTTGGTGGTGTAGTAGTCGCTAGGCCGTCAATGTTTTCAGGAATATGAATTTCAGCGTTTTGTATTGAAGCTACTAGGCTGGCTGAAGCCTCGTTCAACAACGAAGGTGATAGCGGTGGTGTTTCATCGTTAGGAGCCGATACATGAATGTTCTGATCCATATATATTGTTTGGGTTTGGCCTGTCTGTCACAAATGAAGGCGAAAAGTCAATATCTTGAAATATGTCACGGTTGAAAGGGTATATTCCTGTCTTTCGAAAGCCAGCCTGAATATTTGATTGGGTCAGAGCAAGTGGCGTTGCGGTTGTCGTAATACAGGGTATGTCGTAAATGGTCATAGTTCTTCCTGGATGATTTCGCATCCAGGCGTCACAGGCTGTATTGAAGGCTTTTTTCAAAGGTACACAGATCGATCCAGGGGCTGGGGTTTGTGTGAGCAGTGGGGTGGAAACGATAATAGAACTATTCCATTTTCTTTACAGAAATCTAGAGAATTTATGTGTATATGGGATGAGTGGTTGTCCAAAAGTAGCAAAACTTTGTATGAAGGAGACGCATTTGTATGTTTTTTGAAATGTTTTAAGAAAATTAATAACGTGTCATCTTGCATCCAGCCCGATGGATTGCCTGTTCCAATGGAACCCACAGGTCCATCCCTGATGAAATGTTCTTGATATCGTATGCGAGGGAATACGAACATGGGGGGAATAGCATTGCCCAACGCGTTTGCCGCAAAGGCCAATGTGACCAATGTGCCTCGCTCAGCTGAGGTAATGGCTCCTACTTGCCTTGTGCCACGTCTAGCCACGACCCTGTCGGGTTTTTGCACGGTGGTCACGCCGGTTTCATCGACATTATATTATATGTCTTGAGGTTTGAAATGATTATAAAAGGTATTTCGTGGTTTGATTTGAAAACCGCCGTATACATTAAAAGTCCAATCAATGCATGCAATTCAATTATATCCACATTTTGTAATTCTGCTCGATTTGGATTTGCATATTTTGATCTATATTCTGACAACTTAGAGTTAGTTCTGGTCATTACCTCTAATAATATGTCATCATCTATAAATTATTTCCATATACTATACGGACCGTTTCCATCACTTTCTGTCAACTTGGAAGTGGGTACTCGTAAAATAATATTATGTTGTGGTGTTCTCACTGAAGACCGGTTAGAAGATTTTGACCACTTATATTTATTTTATCCTCTAAAATAACAAAGCCTAGAAAGCGGCACATCTTCGTCATCCGACGAGGAACAGGAAATATTTTCCGTCTGAAGTAATGGCTGAGTTGTAGTTTCAGTATCAGATATATCAGTATCAGTACCTGTCTCATGATCGATGATTTCTGGTACGTAATCTTCTCCGATATCATCTACCTCCGATCCGCTGGAGTCTTCTGCAAGTAGTGTCCGACCGAAGGTGTGTTTTTGGCCGAAGCCGAAGCCGAAGCCGATTAATCGGCTATCGCCACGACCTTCGGCCGAAGCCGAAGCCGAAGCCGAAGGTTTATATTCTCTCAGCACTCAGTCAATTATTTTGTTCAATATTGTCTACAAGTTACAATTAATATTAAAATTATTTCAAAACCTCAATATTGAAAGTTTATATTGACTGTCTTATAAAGAAGTTTATGATATATCAAAGAGATGGTTGGTTTAGAGATTAATAAAAGTTTGTGATTTACCTACTGGTAAAAGTAATCATTTCTTTATTATGAATAATTTCACAAATTACAATTAGATCAATCAGCCTTTGTTTTACTGGACTAGATCAAAACTAGACTAATAAATAAAATAAACAAGCATAACTTCTTAGTAAATAATTAAATGTTGGTGAATTAAATTTAGCAAATATTAGAAAATTCAAAATAAATGAAACAATAACATTAGAACCATTGAGTTAATGACTGTTTTGCACACAAGAAGCTATAAGAATAATAATTATAATATTCTATTTTACTCA